ATTTCTTGTGAAATTTCACGAAATTTCGTTCGATGAAATGTCTTTTAGCAACTCTGCATACATATAAAAATAAAATCTAACAATATTAATCTCAGCAGGAATCACATAAGGTCCGAAAAAAGTTATATTTCCCCAATTTTCCAAAAAAATTCCTTCGCCCTTTTGTGGAAGTTGTTCCCTACCCTCGGAGTCGAGAGTCGAACACGAACACACGACGAGTGACGTGATTTCTGTAAAATAATGGCTGCCGATTGACCGGAAATGGCTTTTTTCTTGCATGTTTTGGAAAAGAGTAGTACTGCAATCAGACACTCATCAGTCAACAGCCTGTTGACCGCTAGTTGACGAACTAGAGGTTGAAATTTCGTCACAAGACACCCGGCTCCGCTGAACTGGTAGTTCGCCTCAACTACTAGTTGATCAACTAGCAGCTAACACCCAGTTTGACTAGAGTCCCTTTATACCCAGAGTTAAGACAACTCACTTTTGGTTGGGCTGAAAGTGGCCTAAAAAAAAATCCAATTCTGATTGGTTCTCGCTCATGGAGGCCGAAACGAGTGCACCAAGATGGCGGTACCTCGAATGTGAACAAGAATAATGAAAATATTACCTAATTGTGGTTTATCAAGAGTAAATTGTTATTTCCATCGGTCCTAAATGAAAATAGATTAAGAAATTATTCACAAACCAATCTCATTTTCTTTTTAATCTATCAATTTTGTTGATGCTGTTGTTTTTGTGTGACAGACATCGCAGGATTCCTGATCCTTATCCCTCAATATCGTTCGTTTGGGTGCACTCGTTTCGGCCTCCATGGCCAGCCAAGGCCGGTTGACAGTCAGCTGATAATCGAGTTGTCTTAACTCTGGGTATAAAGGGACTCTAAGTTTGACAGGAACGGCCCTTATTTTAGCTGGTTCAGTGTGTGTCTAGCCGACGAACGGAGCCGAGTCGGGACTGTCGGGAGTGGGGAGCGCTGAGCGCGAGTAGAGTCCCTTTATACCCAGAGTTAAGACAACTCGATTATCAGCTGACTGACAGCCGGCCTTGGCTGGCCATGGAGGCCGAAACGAGTGCACCCAAACGAACGATATTGAGGGATAAGGATCAGGAATCCTGCGATGTCTGTCACACAAAAACAACAACATCAACAAATTGATCAATTAAAAAGAAAATGAGATTGGTTTGTGAATAATTTCTTATTCTCTTTTCATTTTGGACCGATGGAAATGACAATTTACTCTTGATAAACCACAATTAGGTGATATTTTCATTATTCTTGTTCACATTCGAGGTACCGCCATCTTGGTGCACTCGTTTCGGCCTCCATGAGCGAGAACCAATCAGAATTGGATTTTTTTTTAGGCCACTTTCAGCCGAACCAAAAGTGAGTTGTCTTAACTCTGGGTATAAAGGGACTCTAAGCGCGAGTCTCTGCGTATGCGTCATCGCTAGTCGCCGCACACTAGTCTCCGGAGAACTGGACAAAACAGCCTCGAAAAGTGACTTCATCGGCGATCCAGTACTTTGCGACTCTATTGTACTCTATGGGCCACTTACGCGAGTGTCCCTTCTATAGGCGTTAGCTTTATTATTCTATGCCGTAAACATCAACAAGGATCGACAACCCTAGACCCTAGTTCAATAGTATAGTATATTTTATTTTAGTATAGATATTCTACACTGATGACTGAGCTTTGAGCTTTGCAAAGACATTCGTTATCAAGAATCGTGCAAATTATTTTCGGTTTTTTTTTTTATGGGAAGCTGACAAAATTTGCTAGTGTTCTAGTGGCCTCATGGTTTCATGTTCTTCTCTCCGACATGGATATAGCCAAGTCGTTTTTTAACTCTAGACCGCACGATGGTTACTCTGGCAAAGGCTCTACTGTAAGCTATATTTTTTTACTTTAAAACCGTTTGTGTGTGCCATATCAGTTCATCAAATCAGTCTGTGTATTCTTGACGATATCCTGGAGATCTTTTGCATTTTCCGTATTGTTGCCACTATTTCAGTTTTCCACGCATAGGGGGCTGAACTGAATCTACGCACTGAAACTAGTTGCTCAGCCATCATTTAACATCCACTCATTGTTGTCCCCCTCCAGACCTCCAAGCTTAGCTGTAGCGTCCTCAGCAGAATTGCAGCATAGGGTAAATAAACCAAAATTTGTGAAGGAGTCTTTAATGTCAGTTTTGAGTCACGTTGAAAGATTTTGCCAAAACTATCTCACCAACTTTGATTATTATATTTGATAGGCATCGCTCCGGTATATGTACTCAATAATGAGACAAGATTCCTAGTGATATTATCCTCCTTGCCAGATCAGGTGCTCTTGTATTTCATGATTCAATAGACTGATTTAGTGGCTACGCCATTCGGTATAATATTGAACCCTTGGTTCCAATGTAAATATACACAGAACCTTGTTCCTGATTTGCGCCATGGTGGTTAAATGCGTCCAAGTGTTTCTTTCAATCAAAATTTTGTGTGTTTAATGAGTCTTTAATAGATTCATGACCTGTCAGTGACTAAATTTTAATAACTTAAGAAGGTAATAGGGCTTTTAGTTATCCCTGGAACGCGATGGTAGCGGTTCGGGCTGGTTCAACCAGCCTGAACCAACCTCAACCCACCTCGGAAGAGTGGTCCAAGCGCTCCACTTGAAAACATGGAACTCACTGGAAGGCGTTAGTGGAACGGGATAAAAAATTGATACGTTCTGTTGCGGTCCACTGTGGTTCGGATAAAAAAAAGCCCTTATGTTAGTTTGTTTGAGCCCAGAGTTTGATACCATACTGGATGAAATAGTCACTAAATTAGTTTATTGCTAATTCATCAAAGTGTCCTAGTAATCGATGGATGAAGAATATGAGTTAACCGACCGGTGAGTGCTTGGCGGCATTCGAACCACAATTTTAAATTTTAGCTCCACACGGGTAGACAAGTTGCAATGACTAGGCCAGGGCCCTAAGTATTACTCAGTGGGGCTCTGACGGACACGAATCACACAATTTGAGAATTTTCTCATCTCTGGAATATTAGACCATAAGGAAGGCCCTAATCCCAGGGTGTCAATATCTGCTGTCTGGTTGCTGCTGCTTGCCTAGTCGTGTTGCCGTTCAATAGCAAACGGTCGTTTTGTGAGGTTTCTTTTGTGCATCCTAAATAATTACACACAGATCTCTTTTCTACTTGTACAAAAAGTAATTTATTATATTTTACAGTGTTGAAATGCTTTTTCCCACCAATTATTTGAATAATACAATCATTTGAACACAGATGTCCCTAGATAATGTCAGCGAAAATGATTTGATTCGATATTTAGTTAGCTGAAAATGCAAGATAGATATCACTTGAAACTCAAAGTCAAATCATGATATTCTGTCACAACTGTCTGACCAAAGCTGAGCCAGCGGAGAGGGAGGATAAATTGTGATTTCTATTCATATCCTTTTCATCAAGTACTAATTTAAGTATGATTCTTTAAGTACATTTGTTTCCTATAAAATCTATAAAATCAACTCATTTTTTGTCAAATAGTTCCGTTTCAACATTAGTAATTAAAATTGAATGCTCTCCTTGCAAAATTTCCATTATATTTAGGTACTTGTAGTTTCTCCTCAAGAATTGAAGGTTTAGCTGTGGTTAAATTAACCGAAAGTAAGCAAGAGAAAGTCGTGTAAGAATAGTTCACAATTTACGACAGTGCACCATGTGTACATGGATTAATTAAAACTTGTTACCTAGTATCGCGGAAATAGCAGAGTCGTAAGTCGTGATCAAATTGCCGCTGCACACCCACTAACGGGTTAAGAATTTGCATATATAAAGTAATTTTCAGTGTCCTTTAAAGAACCAGATGTTAATGATCTCGGCTGTGCGGCCCTTGCTTTGAACTCAAGCCATTAGAAGCCGTTATTGTCTATACCTATAAGTATTCCATATTTGAATCATCCTGCCTGTCTATTTTTCCAGAATGAAGTTGAAACTGTTGTCTCTGATACTGAGGATGAAATCGACGAGCTCTTCAAAAGCCAACTTTCAGATGCTCCTCAAATCACTCCAACACCTGGAGGGCCATTCTCAGCTTTGACACCATCAATGTGGCCTCAAGATATTCTTTTAAAACTTGCTGAATCCAAGGAAAACTCCAGTTCAGATCAAGAACAGAGGTTTAAATTGCATTCTCTCTCACATATTTGCTTCTCAGCCATGTGTATAATATTTAAATTAGATTTTGAGATAGGATTTTTGAAAAATTAAACCCACTTATTTAACAGCTGTAGTACTTTACTACTCGCCCCCCAAAAAAGAATCAAATCCACTGGTATCTATTGCACTTAGTTTAAATTTCCACCACAGTCAAGTCCAGCTTCGGTGGTGACATCCACGGCCACGCCTAGAAGTGCCAAATACCAAAGAGGAATGAGTGCTCCCAGCTGAGCTGGTGCCTCCTCAGCTGGGACTTCAGTGTCAGGTTTACTTACCATATCCATGGCCAAAGTATCACAGTTTCCAACAATGCAGACTGCTGATCATACTTTATTTTCTTTACAAAATCAGTTGACATAATTTCTTGGAAACTTCCTTGATTTTTCTTCTCAATTAGCAGAATATTCCGTGTAAATTTCAAGCTATTACTTAAGTTGGCTTGTTTATGTTCAAAAAAATAAAATATGAGCAGAAATTTTGAAACATCGCAATAGAGATACAGGGTTATTCAAAAGTTACGCACCACTGGCCATAACTTTAGTTCTAATTATGATATCGATTCGCTGTTTGTGGCGTCCTTCCTCATATCGAGGGGGAAACTTTTTGAGGTACTTTTCAGTTCTTCACCCCCCCCCCCCCCCCCCCC